GGGAGTAGATTATGAGATTCTACATCGGTTGAAGGAAAGAACGAAGTATTCTTTATAAGAGAGTAGAAACCTCTGAATGACAAAGAGACGATTTAGAATTGTGAAATTAATGATGATATATTCCGAGTGGATAGAAACTTAATTATTTTTCTAGAACTAACGTAAAAAATAAAGGAAGGGGTGGTATGATTTGAGGATTTTTTTTTTTTTCTAGGAAGTGTATAAAGGTGAAAAAATGATGGATTTTTTTATGGAATATGTACGTAGGTTGATGATGTCGGTTGGGTGTTCCCCATTTGGATATTTGATCATCATTGATTCATTTTCATAGATCTTCTGGTTATAATTTTACTGTCGTTTCTTTGCATGCATGCAATACATTCCACGTGCCCACTTTCATTAATTATATTTCTCAATATTGCCCCCCTTTTCTGCCTTGGAAATATGACTCCCCTCCTTGCATCCACTAATAATTCGGTCTTTTCAGTTCGTATTTCAATAAATTTCATCATTATTTTCATTTATTATAATAAAACACCACGACCGTATAATTGTTGGTAACCGGAAACCATCAACATCGATCTCTTCTGTCCCCTAACCCAAAAATAAAAAACAAAAGAGAGAGAAAACTCCTCCCTTATCTTATACAAGATTGTATTTATTTGGTATATTAGCTTTATTTACACAAAATTCAAATTTATACTTAATAACCATTTATTCAACTAATTAAACATTTAAAAATCTACTAAATATCTTTAAAATTTAAAAAATTATAATATATGGTAAGATTTCATATGGATTATAGAGAGGAACGACCGTTCCTTATAACGGACAATTTTTACTAACGATGGTAGATTTAGGCGGTTACAAATGATATTAAAGCAAGTCAATGGATGATACTAAACATTAGTTTTAGTAGTGCTACATCCTTTCTAATAACTACTAGCGTGAGGTTAAATTGTAATAAATGGTATTAGAAGCAGTTACCGATTGATACCCAACATTGGAAGATTGCTATTTTGGACGTTAAAAGTGAGTATAAGTTGGGTATATAGGATAGATTTTGGATGGATGAATGTGTATGGCACTTTTTTATGGAATGTGGAGTTGAATCATAATTTGTTCTCTGGTAGTCTTATAAAGCAAAGGGGGAGAGAGAGAGAGACAGAGATCTAGAGAGACAGAGAGAGAAACAGAGCATCTTTTTTGGTACAGACAGAGCAGGTCACCAATCTCGAGACGATCTGATTATGTGTCTTTTCAAATTCAAATTTAAATTTAAAAACAAGAAGAAAAAAAAAAGAAAGGAAGAAGAAGAAGAATAAGAAGAGAAGGGATTGGTGGGGTCCGGGTTTTGAGAGGGGGAGTTTGGTCGGGGTTGGGTATGATGATTCATGATTTCATGTATGGGATTGGGGGGTTTTCTTCACAGTTTTTTAAGCTCTGTTTTTTTTTTGTTTTTTTTTTTAATTACATCAATCTTCCAATTACTTTCAGTTGTAATAATATATGTTTCCGACGCTTTTCCTTTTTTCGAGCTTCTATCTTTGACTCAGAATCTGTTTTGCACACTCCCACACAAACCCCTCAATATTACCACCCCTCCTCTCCTTTGATCATTGCCTCTGCCTATCGCCAACTACAAGCCTATTCAACAAACGCCCTCGAACCCGAGTCGAGATCGAGCGCCAAACCGAAACGCTCTCAATGCTTTCTACCTCCCCAAAATTTTGAAAAGAAAAAATGATCGGAGAAGGGACAAGACCCATGGAAGACTATTCCTCTCCCCTCCTTTCACTTTTGACCTACTAATTGACGATCTCCTTAATCCCACCATTACCATTACCATTTCAATTTCAATTAATTAATACCCATTTATCTAGAATCATTCATCATCCTCGTAACGCACGATTGAATCTTTAAGAAAATTTAATCGTGTGTTGATCGATTAAGACATTAGCAACTTTTGATGGGTAGATAGGTGGAGTCTTTCAATAAGAGCGATTATTAGATGGAAGAAGATGAATAGAATAAAGACCAAAAAGTGAGGTGGGAGGAATTAGTGAAAACAACATAAAATAAAATAAAATAAAATAAAAAAATGAGACAGAAGGGAAGGGAAGGCAGTTGTTGGATGCACTCAAAAGAATCACACAAGGCTTTATTCCAACCCTACAACCTCATTGACTGAATCAGACTGACAAGACCAGGCCAATTCAGACATCGTTTTCATTCTCTCTCTTTCTTTCTCTCTCTGGAACATGAATGTCGGGCCTACCTTGTCTTTGAATTAAAACAAAGTACCCCCGTATATTCTTCATTCCGACACCGTGGACTCATTTTGCTGAACTGGCTTTCTTTCCCCTTCCCTGCTTATAAAACCCTCCCATATTCTCCCCCACTTCTTCATTAATTTCTTCACACTCCTCTGTTTTCTGCTTTATATTACTTTCACCACCAACACAACCAAAAACCCCTCTTTCAATTTTTTTAACTTTGCTCTGTGTTTTACGCTATGATGCAACGCTGTGGCAGCTACCAATGCTACTCCGCGGGTGAGTGTTCGTGTGGGGCGTTCTATGCGCAGCAGGGCAGCTACTTCTCCACCCCCGCCTACAACAATTACTATGAATCTGAACATTATTCTTTTGACTCCTCCTCTCCGGTGGATTGTACGCTCTCTCTCGGAACACCCTCGACTCGTATGACGGAGTACGACGAGAAGCGCCGCGAGGAGCAGCACTCTGCTTCTAATTTTGCCTGGGATTTGTCTCGTACTAAACATGGTCACTCCTCCAAGACCAGTCGCCGTAGTGGCAATACTGGCGGTGATAAATCCAGAGCCAATGGAGACCAAATGTTCTCTCGCCACTGCGCTAATTGCGACACCACCACCACCCCCCTCTGGCGCAATGGCCCTAGCGGTCCTAAGGTAAACAAACTAATCCACGATCTGGGTGTGGATCAAAATTGAACCTTTTCAAACTTTTTTGGTGTGTGAGGTAATGGATTAATTAATGTTAATTGTTTTGCAGTCGTTGTGCAATGCGTGTGGGATTAGATACAAGAAGGAAGAGAGGAAAGCGGCGAGTTCAGGGCAGCAGGCTAATTCGATGTACAAGAATGAGGCTAGCTCATGGCTTCAGCACCATTCTCACAGCCAGAAAACGCCGAGATTCCCACATGGAATTACCAATGATCTGAATCCCGGTGTCGCCTTTCTCTCATGGAGCCTCAATGACACAGAGCAGCCTCAGCTGTACTACGATTTCACAAGTTGAAATTATTATCTCTCCCAAGATTTTTTTTTTTTTTTCTTTTCTTTTGGCTCTCTGCCAATGTGGGGGAGTTTTACTTTTCTTTTCTTTTTTCCTTTTTTTTTTTTTGTTATTAATATTTACTTTCTTTTTTATACCCAGGAGGAAAAAAAAAAAAAAAAAAAAA